CAACACTCTGATAAAGAAACACAACAGTTCATCAGCAGCCAAGCAGAGTCAGAATGAGCCAAGCCAGAACTTGCATTAAGTAAGCAACGGTATTGTGCATTGAAAGCAAATTAATACCAACGACCTCATTCCAGACAAGATCTACTCGATAAGGAAAGTTTGTTATTAGCATTGAATCAAGAATATTGCTCCAACGTTCAAACATCTCAGTGCTATATAAACAAGACTTTGAAGATTGAATTGGCTAATGCTCTCCAAATCTTTACACGCCTAAAAGCTGATCATAATCTTCCTTCTCTCAGTTTGCTAAACACTACACATTCTCTTATTCAATCATTGTTTAACAATCTAGTTTCTAAGCTTTAAGTTGTGTATACATCACAATTGTGATATAGTTTTGTAGAAAACATTCACACACTTAGATTTATCTTCTTTGTAAGAAAGTGTTTCCTTGACAAACCGGTTGTGGTTTGCATCAAGAAGGCTTTAGCAGTTGTTAAAGCAGTCTGTAATATTCAGTTGAATATAGTGGATTAAGACCTCGTTGGAGAGAGGCGAAATCACCTTGACGGGTGGACTGGAGTAGTTTGAGATCAAACGAACCAGGATAAAAATATCTTGTTCATTGCATTGATTTTCAGTTTTACAATTCAACCCCCCCCCCCTTCTTGTGTTTTTCACTACTTCAAAAGATACAAGCAAATTCAAACCTTTTGCCTTCAGACTGTCTTCAGGCTTTTCTTTTGAAAACCTTTTCACAAAAATGATGTGTTATTTCCACTATACGCAATATGATGCGTAAGTTCCCAAAGGTCGGATTGTAATATGTCAACTGCTAGAGTGCAAATGTAACATTATCCACCTAAAAACTACACAACAAACCAAAACACTTGTTTAGGTGAACTACAAGTGCCCCAATCTTCTATTGTACGAAAGGTGGTACGTAGGCACAGAGTTTCGCAACTGTGGCAGGCACAATTTATAAATTTTTTTCTTTTTGTATATATTTTTGTTCATGTATTTTCTCTTAGCTTGTTAGCTTTAGATTTGACACACTCTTTGATTAGAACAACAAGAGTAGATCCCATAGAGTACCACTGACGTGAGGGGTGCTAATATCTTTCTCTTGCGTAATCGACACCCGTACCCGTTCTCTTGGTCGTGAGACCTTAATTTCTCCTTTCTCAGGTTTTCTTAGATGTTTTCCTTCGTTTCTGTGGGATAAATAAATATTCGATGGTGACTTCATTGTTTGTTTATTTTTCCTAGTTGTTTCAAGTACCTGCATGGTTAACACTTCAACACCCAAGTAAGTTTAGGTTTCAAGATAATGGCAGTGAAAGTAAAGATTAAAGATTATGTACTTGAGAATCCTTTATGAAGGTATTTATACCTTGGGCAAGGCAGAGTAGGCTAGATAACATGCCTCTTACTATTGGGCCTTTGGCTGGTGCAAAACAGTAGGTCTCGGGTCTCTGGCCGATACAGAGTAGTGGATCCCTGGTCTTTGGCTGACACTAAACAAGTTTCAACTCCAAGAGAAGTCGTCTAACCTTCATAAAGAGATGGTTATATTACTGACCTTTGAAAGGAGGTGGATACTCTCGACTTTCATTCTTCTATGCCCGCCAAAGTATCTGACTTAATGGCATCTTTGAAGGCTAAATAGAAGGCTCTCGAAGAGATAAAGACTTTTTTGGGGACATTGAGCTCTCGGTTGACTATGGCTGAAGATACCCTTCAAAAGAAAAATACTCTCAGGTCAAAGATCGGGAGGCTCACACTGAGAAATTGACAATGACGAAGAGACAAATTAATGAGGTTGTTGATGAAGGTCTTAATTTTGTCTTTGTAGCTTTTAAGGATGCAGACGATTAAGTGGGGCTGCAGTGTTAGAGTATTTAGGTTCACCAGTCAGAGTTGGACCCAAAGAAATTGGTTTGAGATGGTGCTATAGTCGGAGATGGTGAGGCTTCTAAAGGGGACCATGATGAATAACTTGTCATGTATTGTTTCAGTCTACGTGTCTTTGCTGCTCTTTGGGATTTGTAATGATATTGTTATGTTAATTAAGCTTCTTTCCTGCTATTGGTTTACTTGTTTTAGTTGTTTGATGTTTTTAAGTTACTTTCTTTTTGTTGTTGATCAGTCTTCCCTCGACTTTGAAACCTCTCATGTTGGTTCTACTTCACACTTACTATCTGCTGGAAATTGGAGCAACTTGTTACATTTTGGTTCAATTGTCCCATTTGAACGAAACAAGCTTAATCTTTAGTGTTTCATCATCATGTGTCTCATTCGTTGGGATTTGACGTGATTCTTCAGCATCAATGTGAATCATCATCGCCCAAGAGTGGGGTCACTTTCTCTGCCCACGAGTTTGAGTCTGATTTCAGATTGTCATCTCTAGGCTATACCGCCAATGCCTATGGGGTGACTAAATCCTAATTCGGGTGCACTAGCTGCAACTTAATGCACTTTTATTTCTTTAACCATGTTTTTGAATGGGTAACTTGCACCATTTTGATAGAAAATAAAATGTTATGTATATTAAATATTGTTATTTAGATGATAATTCAATTATTCAACCTTTAAATGTCTTTTAAAAATATTTAACCTTCGAATGTTAAAATATGAAGAATAGAGCAAAAAGTTAATACAAGGAAGCTATGAATACTTGGTGAAAAATATGAAGAAAAAGGAGAAAAAGAGAGGATTTTGCCACTGGTTTTCTCTCGCGCTCAATGCATCTCATCGCAGCGGGATGAGGAGAGTATCACTGCGCGATACTGAGTCATCACGGTGCGATGCTGATTTTCCTGCTGAACACGTTTTTTGCCTATTTAAGGAGATTTTGTCCAATTTTTCAAGGGTTTCGAATTTTGAGAAGAAAGTGATGACTATGGTCATTTAAGGAAATATTTTGGAGCACATTGGAGTCATTGAATAGTAATTCTTTCATAGATTTTGATGATGAATGCTTCTCCATTCATGGTATTTGTTAAATAATTAATGAGTAGCTAAGTTTCTCTAGATTAGGGCTTTTTGAAATGAACCTTATTTTTACTTTGTTGGATCATATGTCTGTTTGATATTTGTTGAGTACAATTAATGTTATTATCTTATTTAAAGTTTTTCTTTGTTTAATGCTTTTTGTCCCTTTCGAACATATGAATTAATCTAGATAATTAGAGATTTCTGACCATTCGTCTAATTATCTGAGTTAGGCAATATAAAGTAGGAATAAGAAGAATTTTAGATTTGTTGCTTATGAATTAACGCACTAGAAACACCTAATTTGTATCTGAATTGGCTTAAAAAATCAGGGGATTATTGTATAAATTAGTGAGCTATACGTCAAGGAATTGCTTGTATTGGTTATGTTAATTCATAGTGAGATAATAATATGATTGACACAACATGTATATAGATCATCAACAAGTAACAATAAAGGAATTAGATAAATAGTCTTAATTGCCTTCGCATTCTTATCCTTTTTTACTCTCATTTTAAAATCATTTTTCTAACAAAAACCCTGTATTAATTACTAAATTTCGCAATAAATTTTCTTATTAAAATCTAATTCTTGTGGAGAATAATAAAACTCAAAATCCATTTGCGTTAGTAACACGCTAAAAGATTATAGCTTCAGAACACATAATTTATCAACATGTTTCAAAATAAAATAAATAATACATACAAAAACAAAACAAAACACTTATAGTTACCCGACACTTGCTATGTGATTCCTTGACTATTATTTTATTGATACCCCATATATCTAAATCAAAAGATTATAATAATAATTATTATTACGAATTAATTTATCGGTCAAAGTGTTAAGTTTGAATCTTTGAATAAAAAAGTGTTAAAAAAAGGTTTGTAGTATAATTTTTTTAAACAAAATCACAATCCAATTTTTACAAGTTAGCAATATAACACAAAAGATATTTGAGCTAGCAGATGATCCTACAACACTTTCTTCAACAAGAATCATTTTTCACTATAGCACTTTCTTCAACAAGCATATATTTACACCAAATGATGTTAATTTCATGAAGGAACAAAAATTGAGTAGTTGATGTATATTAGAATTAGAAAAAGACTAACTCAAGGTTATGAAATCAATAATAAAATAAAAAAAATATTAGAAAAACTTTAACATAAATCTTTATCGGTAGGTAGACGATAGACGAAAAGGTAAATATTAATTAATAATCATATTCATTTAGATGTCTAATTCATTATTGTGAAATGAAATAATAACACAAAATATCAAAATCGAAAATTAACTCACCCAATTCTATTTTTTTCCGATTATCTACTGTTTGAGTTGGGCCGAAGACCGTTGTCCACCTCTAATTATAATCATTGATTTTTTAGATTTTATCTTATCACCCCACATTTTAATCTGATTTTCCACATAATTCCATAATATCAAAAATACCCTTGTCAAAATTTAACAAAAAAGAATAAACAAAAAAATCTAGTAGTCCAATTGAAATATCCGATTTCCAGTAAAAATTAAAAAATCCAATAATGTGTTTTCTCAAAAAATTCAATAAAAACTCACTAAATTTTCAAAATCAGGAAAACACACTATTTAAAAAAAATACAAAAGACACAAAACGATATTATTGTAAAAACACCCATCATATAAAGGTATGAGGTGGCACTATGAAATATCTTGATTTTGTCATGAAAACTTTAGGAAATTCATAGGAATTAATTTGACACGTTTTTGTAATTGTATCGTACTACTGTTTTATTTTATGGATGAATTTCTACACGTGTTTTCCAACTCAGCACAACACATCAAAGGAAATATAATCCCTCCTTTCCTTTCTTGAATCCATTCAATTAATCTTATACGCGTACACGTTCACATATATAATACTCTCTCTCTCTCTCTCTCTCTCTCTCATATTTAGGGTTCACGTTCTGTAATTTTCTGTCATCGCATTTTCTTCTCGTCACTCCAAATTCCGATTTTCCAATTGATGGTTCAGTTTATGGGTTTAAGGGATCACGGTTCAGGATCGAAGGACAATTTCGTGATCGAGGATTCGCTTGAAGAAGAACACGCTCCTCTCAACAAGCGTTGCAAAGTTTGTATCTTCTTCTCTAATCATTGCATTACGGTTTCACTTTTTACTTTTTATTTATTTTTATGTTTAGTGTTACGTTTGATTCTATTTTTCAGAAGAATCGAAATCGCTACAGGTGTATAATTGATTCTGATATGTTAGGATTAGGATTTTCTGTATAATTGATTTTGCCCCCACAATTGATTATTTGAAACTGCAATTTAGGGTTAGGGTTAGGGTTTTTGCTGTACAATTAATAGGTTTGTTGAATCAATTCGTTCAATTTTATTTTGTGACTTTCTTTTCTCATTGTTCATGGTTTTGTGGTTTTGTGTATTGTTTAGCAATGGAGTACTTCAAATAGTGCATGTTTCAGTTTTCCTTCTCAAGATCATAGCATACTTGATGAGCCTAGCCCTTTGGGTTTAAGACTTAGGAAGAGTCCTTCGCTGGCAGATTTGATTCAAGCGAAGCTCTCTCAAGGGGATAAGGCTGTTTCCAATACAAAGGATGATGATGATAATTTAAGCTCTGGAGTGAAAAAGGAGAGCCGGGCTCCTGTTGAGAAGCTCAAGGCTTCGAATTTCCCAGCCACGCTTTTAAGAATTGGTTCATGGGAGGTAGATTCGAGATTCTACTTAGGATTTGTGTTTTGGAATTTTTTTTTTCTTTCTTTTTCTGAATGGATTTGACTCATGTCTTGATACTGTCTTTATTGCAGTATATCTCAAAACATGAGGGTGATTTAGTGGCAAAATGTTACTTTGCTAAACAGAAGCTTGTTTGGGAAGTTCTTGAGGGTGAGCTGAAGAGTAAAATCGAAATCCAATGGTCAGATATCACTGCACTTAAAGCAAATTGTCCTGATGTTGGACCAAGCACATTGTCTATAGTGGTAATTTATTCTCCCATTATTTTTGTATTCTCCATGTTAGCTTAGTTAATAGTTATTCAATGTGCAAATCAGATATGCGATCATGCATGGGTAATTGTCTGGTGTGTATTGTAGGTTTCTAGGCAGCCTCTTTTCTTTAGGGAGACTAATCCTCAACCTAGAAAGCATACATTGTGGCAAACAGCGACTGATTTTACAGGTGGACAGGCTATCAAATCCAGGTATATTGCTTTTAAGGTTGTCATGTGGATGTGCGATCAACTTTTATTCATTCATATAGATTGAAAAGTACAACGGTTTTGTTGGTTTGTCATTAAATGAGCAGGAGAACCTTCTAAAATATTAGAGACTGCACTAATAAGACTAATAAAACTTGCTGAAGTTCAAGTTAATCTTATACTCCCTCCGTCTCATAATAAGTGTCTCACTTGCACTTTTTCTTTGTCTCAATAATTGTCCATTTACAATTCCAATGCATCATTTATTATTATTTTTCCACTACTATACCTCTTTTTATTAACTTTCACTTTATTCAACCACAATTAATAGGGGTATTTCTAGTAAATGACGTTAACTTTTTTATTAAAACCAACACATCTAATTTAAGAACCGCGCATTGCTCAAATATGACACTTATTATGAGACGGATGGAGTAGTATTTGGATGACTCCTTGTTGTAGATAAGCATTTATGAATTATTGTATTACAATTTATAGTGTTGTTAACAAACCTGTATAGCGCCAATATACCGCTATTGTATATCGGAATTTGGGGTAGCTGATATGAAAATCAATACGATATGTCAACTCCAATATTTGCGCTATAGCTGCAGGTTTTGGGAATATTGGTTATAACGTATGCAATAAATATTGGTCAAACTTTTTAAAACATTCAAAAAGTAGAAAATCTGAAGTGTAACCAAATTCTTTAAAACATTAAATTAAAACATTTTTTTATTTAAAAAAGTATACAAGCTGAAAAGGTGAGTCGGTTAGTGGGTATTATATATAATATCTCACTACCATTACCTAGTAATGACATAACTCATCTCTTAAGAAAAAAAGGAAAGCAACCACTGCCTACATCATCAAATAACGCCTAGGTTCTTCACTTTGTTCACATAATGATTATGTTGGAGAAGAGAAGAATAATTAGATCTTTTTATCTTTTATCACTCTTAGAACTACCTGTTATTAGTTATTTTGAACTATTTAGATTCAGTTTAAAGTCACTTTTAATTTTTGTTTTTAGCTTTCTGCTGCAATGTGTGATGCATCATGCTTTATTATTTGCGTGAATTATTGAGATTTTGAGTTCAATGTCATTTACTTTTTTAATTTATGTTCTCGCAGCTTTTATTTATGTGCAACATGCTTTATTTTACATACAATTATTTACATTTCAACCACATTGTTGCTTCTGTTATGCAATCTGCTATTTCTCATAAAACACTTGGTTAAAGTTGTTATTTTTTAATTTGCAATGGGCTGATACTGTGTTTTAACTTTCCTTTCCTCTCCTCATATTTATACTAGGAATTTGCATTTGGGAACTTTATCTTGTTGTTGTTTAATTTGTAGGAAGCATTTTTTGCAATGTGAACAAGGCTTTATCTTGTTGTTTAATTTGTAGGAAGCATTTTTTGCAATGTGAACAAGGATTGCTGATCAAGCATTTTGAAAAGCTCATCCAGTGTGATGAACATCTTCAGTCTTTAAGCCAACAGCCAGAGATAACGTTGGATTCACCTCATTCTGATTTTGCTTTTGATAAGCATGACAATCTAAAAAAATATGATTTGGATCAAGTCAATGGCAAAGGATCAGTTACGTCTCGTTTTCAGAACACGGGATCTCCTCATTCTTCCCTGTCACCATCGTTTACCTTAGACAGCACGTTGGATTCACCTCATTCTGATTTTGCTTTTGATAAGCATGACAATCTAAAAAAATATGATTTGGATCAAGTCAATGGCAAAGGATCTGTTACGTCTCATTTTCAGAACATGGGATCTCCTCGTTCGTCCCTGTCACCATCGTTTACCTTAGACAGCAATCCTTTTGAAGCAGCTTCTTCTAGTTCAGGTACTAAGAAATTGGCTCTGATTTTGATTGGCTTTGATACTGGACCTATTATTTTATTAAACTATAAGAACTTTGAATGAAAGGAACATGGCTGTGAATCGCATTCCTGTTGTGTGGGTGTTAGAGAGAGTTGAGTTTATGTGTGTTAAGTGAGAGTTTTATAAGGGGGTATTCACATGTGACATGTGTTTTAGACTTCAATTTTAATGCACTTTTTCTTTTCAACATTTCTTTGCTTGCTGGTTAATATTTGAAAATTTATGATTAAAGGATGAGGCATCACTTTGAAAATCAAGTAGCAGATGGATGGATTACAGGTGGTTATGTTTAGTAGATTTGCATCCTAGGATCATCATATTCTATTGAGTAGTGTACAATTTTAAAATTTATGATGGCCATGCAAATCCTTCACTGTTATTTTAACATGTCAATTTCATCATTAATTCAATATGCTTACTTTTCTAAATATAATGTACAAGTTCTCTATGCAGCTGTACATGTCTTCATACTTAACTTAATCTGTGTTTCGTTATCTAAAGTTGAATTTTCATTTCTACCTTGTGTGCAACAGAAGGGATAAATAGTTCTGAAGCTGAATCGAAGGACCCAAATAACTGGGATCAAATACAACTGGCAGGGCTTCGTCGGTCCATGTCGGTGAGTGATTTTATTGGCCACATTGAACATCACCTTTCCGAAGAAATAGCCTCAGGGAATCTATCATCTTCTGCTAAAAGAATGGACTACAATGCAATCCTGGATAAGATTGCATATGATCTCCTTATCGACAATCATGTTACAACAGATTCTGACGAAATATCACTCATGTCAAGGGTCAATTCTCTTTGCTGTCTTCTGCAAAAGGATAATTCACATGACAATTCGCATGACAACAAGAGCTCAATTGAAGGGCGTAATGATATGAAGGCTGCTGAAGAGGACTCGAGAAATGTTTCTGGCGGCCATCAGGCACTCGGCATGTCTAGGAAAGATTCATTCGGAGAATTGCTTCAAAGTCTCCCTGGCCATCAAGCACCAGGCATGTCTAGGAAAGACTCATTCGGAGAATTGCTTCATAGTCTCCCTGGCCATCAGGCACCGGGCATGTCTAGGAAAGACTCATTTGGAGAATTGCTTCAAAATCTCCCTAGAATCGCATCTCTTCCAAAGTTCTTGTTTAACATAACAGAAGATTAGTCTCATGTTTGAAATTTTAGATTGTTCAAGTAGATATAACAAGTTCAATTTTTACCATGGGGTGCACTAGGATTTGGAAAATATTTTAATGAAGAAACCTTGGTGCCGCCCATGCATTAAACTTATAGGTACTTTAGTCCTTTATTTTTTTTTTTTTGCTTTTTCGAGTCTCGTTGACATTTGTCTGCGTGCAAGTAAATTATGCTTTGCCTAGTAAATACATTCTGGTACATGTCATGGATTTGGATACTCGTATTGCTTTGACAAGGTTGCACTTTTCCTTTTTAATAATTCGTTTTCTTAAACAACAAGAATTGATGCCTCGATTTGACTCTGATTTATTTTCGGTCCAATCAAATCAAGTGTGCTTCCACTGATAAAGGCCCTTTTGTGATCAATGTCTAATGGTTTTTTACTCAATGTCTAATGAAGGATCAATCACTTTTATACAGTAGTTTTTTAGAAGGATTTCTTAAGCCATCCACATGTGGTTGACAAAGAACTTATGTAATCCCGAAAATACCCTTTAATTTTTGGAAATTGGAAATATATTTTCGGTTTCTAACCATTTGAAGGGCAGTGAGATCTTTTATGGAATTCACTCATGATGGGATGAAGTGGGACATATTTGAAGGGAAGTGAGATCTGGGATGAAGTGGGACATATTCCTTAAGGGAAGACAGTTGAACATCAATTCCTGTTAACATAGCTAAAGGAATGGTTAGAAATTGGAAATGTGTGTTCCGGAATATTTTAGAAATACATTCTAGAATAAATTAAGTCGTAAATGAGGGTGTATCTCAAAAACGGAAGAATTATATATATATGTGGGATGCAAATCTGAAATGTATTTTCAAAAATCGAGGATATTTTCAAAATTTTGTGTGATGAACTAGAAAACTATAAGGTAAATTAAGAATTCATCATCACTTTTCTACATTGAATATACATATGATGAGTTATAAGTAGAACAAATTTAAAATGGCCAATGTTTGATACATACATGATACGTCACATAGTTTTTTGAAAGAAAAAAAAAAATCAGATTACTTGTACCTTTTTTTCAACAAATGATAACTATTTCTTACATTTATACACCACCCATTTGTGGACATTAGACTCTAAACCCAAGAGAAAAAGTGAATTATGAGGTTTTGAAAAAATCATTTTCAACTATAAAACTTTAAGAAAAACAGAGTTTAAAAATGTTGCAAAACAAATAAGATGAACAGTGAAAATAAGAAAAATAGAGAAGTAAAGATTTAAGGAAAGAGAGAAAAACATCATAGATTTATAGAAATTTGGTTTAATAAAATGTAACATACTCTTCTTCCCAATTTTTTTTTTTAAAATACTATGATGATGTGAGCTTTTTATCGGCTTTGTCTTCGAATCTCCTTTTATAAAGATTAGAGTTTTACAGTGATTAATTTTTCACCAACAACTAAGGTTTAACTATGGAGATATCCACAATCAACTGAGAATTTTTAACAGTAACCTATACTCTCGAACCGATTGGAGTTTAACTATTGAGACCTCCCCAATCAACCAAGAGTTTTTTACTTGGTGAAATTCACAACCAAAACAAATTTTCTTCAAATGTGAAATTACAATAATGTCCATAAACTAGACAAAAAACACACATATATAATACTTCACTCTCAAAAGCACAAAGACAAATCAAAAGCACAAAGGCAAATGTAAGAAAATAATATTGAAAGAGGAGAGTGAGAGAAAAGTATGTCAAATGTGATTTCTGATGTGTGAGAAATGAATCATCTCTTTATAAGACAAGAGGTGACTCAAATATGGAAATCAATCCATGAGCTTTTAAAGGTTGATGATCAATTATACTTATTCAATGATCGATTATAAAGTCCGAAAATAGAAGGTTTTCAAAAGAGTCGTTGCATAATCGATTATTAACCCTAATACTCCATCCGATCTAAATTATAAGAGACAAATTACTTTTTAGATTCATTCAATAATTAATGTATTTGGTCTAATAATATATCAGATACTTGATTATTCAATGAATCTAAAAAGTAAATTGTCTCTTATAAATAGAACCAGAGGGAGTAGTTGATTATTCAGGCGTTACAAAAGGAATAATCAATTATTTTTAAGGGAACAACAATCTGATGATGACAAAAACTATATCATTATTCAAAGCTAAAGATATCGCTATAGAATGTTACTTTCTTGGGGGTAGATTTTGAAGTCAGCGACAAAAATCTAACTAACAAATGAAAGAAG